AGGAAAGTATCAGAGTATGAGAAAGGGGATTGTAGAGATCGTAATGAGAGATGATTAGATATTTTTGGACTTCCTCATCGTAGCAACAATAGTGTCTCCTTTTTCAAAATTTTCATTTCTTTGATTGCATTAAGTTGAATTCTTTTTCATATGTAGGTAACAGGATCAACTAATTATGGTCTTAATTTGTTCTCACTGAGTTTCTCTCCCCAAGATTATGGAGAGTTTTTCCTTGAGCAGGTACAGAGGTTATATAGTGGGGCTTAAAGCAAAAATTTTCTCAAAATCTCTTGCTGGATTTTTTTAAGCCTAAGGTCTTTAACATAATTATGTTAGGATCCCTGGGTGGCTCAGCAGCTCAGCGCCTGCCTTTGGCTCAGGACGTGATCCTGGAGTCCTGGGATCAAGTTCCGCGTCAGGCTCCCGGCATGGCGCCTGCTTCTACCTCTGCCTGTGTCTCTGCCCCCCGCCCCATGTCTATCATGAATAAATAAATAAAATATTTTTAAAAAACCATAATTATGTTAGGTAATTCTCATGAAGGAAAGGGAAAGAAGTAATTACATTTTATTTTTATATTTTTAAATATTTTATTAATTTATTCATGAGAGCCACACAGAGAGAGGCAGAGACACAGGGCAGAGGGCGAAGCAGGCTTCCTTTGGTGAGCCTGGTTTGGGACTCGATCCCAGGATTCCAGAATCACGACCTTAGCCAAAGGCAGATACTCAACCACCGAACCATCCAGGTGCCCAGTAATTACATTTTATAAGGGATGAGGAGGGAACAAAAATACAAGAGTTTAGGGGGAGATAAAGAGATTCACCAGGAATAGGAAAGGACATAAGGAACTTAGGTTATTAAAACATCAGGGACTCATGCTTACTCAGCACCCAAGGAAGTAGTATGACCACAGTAGATATGACCCAAGGCATCTGGACTCCCTGCTTTGCCAAATATTTCAATGGCCAGACATAACACATAAGTATCAGAGTCACTGAAAGAGGATAAATGAACAACATCAAAGTTGACTAGTGTAGACTATAAATCAGTGGGGGTACCCCTCAATTTTCTGATCACCCAGACATTTGTATAACCTTAATGGATGAATGAGGAAAGTCCAAATAATGATTAAGATTGAATTTCCTGGTGGGATAAGAGTTGGAGTTCAAATAACCATTTTTTGTTTTCTTGTTTGTTGGTTTTGGTTTTTGCACATTCAAGTTTGTGAAGTAAAATTCACAAATACATTTTACGTTTTCAGATATAAGTGTTTTTAAGTTTTTAATTTTAATGCCAGTATAGTTAAGTGTTATATTAATTTACAGTGTACAATATAGTGATCCAACAATTGTCTACGTTATTCAGTGCTCTTCATGATAAGTGTACTCTTTAATTCCCATCACCTATTTCACCCATCCCTCCCACCTACCTCCCTTCTGATAACCATCAGTTTGTTCTCTATAGTTAAGAGTTTATTTCTTGGTTTGTTTCTCTTATTTTTTCCCTCTTTTCGTTTGTTTTGTTTCTTAAATTCCACATATGAGTGAAATCATATGGTAATTTTCTCTGACCTATTTCGCTCAGCATTTTACTCTGTAGCTCCATCCATGTTGTTGCAAATGGCAAGATTTCATTCTTTTCTGTGGTTGAATAATATTCCTCTGTGTATGTGTGTGTGTGTGTGTGTGTGTGTGTAACATCTTCTTTAACCTTGGTTCCATATCTTGGCTATTGTACATAATGCTGCTATAAACAGGGGTGTATGTATTCCTTTGAATTAGTGTTTTTTTTTTATTTCTGGGGTAAAACCCAGTAGTGCAATAACTAGATTGTTGGATAGTTCTATTTTTAATGTTTTGAGGAAACTCCATACCATTTTCCACAGTGGCTGCACCAGTTTGCATTTCCACCAATAGTATAAGACAGTTCCTTTTTCTCTATATTCTCACCAACACATGTTTCTTGTGCTTTTAATTTTAGCCATTCTCACAGGTGTGAGGTAGAATCTTCATTGTAATTTTGATTTGCATTTCCTTGATGATGAATGATGTTCAACATCTTTTCATGTATCTGTTGGCCATCTGAAAGTCTTTGGAGAAATGTCTATTCATGTCTTGTCCATTTTTTTCAAATAAAACACTTATTTTTCCAGTCTGACATATAGTATTAATTTCACTTTAGAATGAAGATTTTCATCACTAATATAACTTGAAGTCCAGAATTGTGATGCCTCCAGCTTTGCTTTCCTTTTCAAGATTGCTATGGCTATTTGGAGTCTTTTGTGGTTCCATACAAATTTTAGGATTGTTTGTTCTATCTCTGTGAGTGGTTTAATTCACTTTGAAATTTTTTATATTCATTTCTGACTCTTGACTGAGATTCAACTTTATAGTGTTGCATGCTTCCCTTTAGACTTTTGAAAAGATGGTCCCATTTGGCATATATTTTAATGGCTACCTATCCACTTGCAAGTCAGATATACTCCATCTGGTCAAAACATACCTTCAAGGAATGCCTGGAATTATTTATTTATTTATTTATTTATTTATTTATTTATTTATTTATTTAGAAATGCCTGGAATTTGATATATCGATTTACAGGAATAGAACTTAAAATATTGGGGTCAGAAAGTATATTGACAAGCTTTGGTGACCTTTAAATATGTCTCAAGATGATATATAGTCAATCTTGTGACAAAGAATTACCTTCAAAATAAATATTTGTATAAAACAGCCAGTTGAACGGCTTGTTCTTGTTCTATTTTATGTTATTAAACAATCTTTGTCATTACTCATGATCCTTGGGTAATTACTAAGGGTAACAGTGGTCCCTAATGTGTTACTTTTAAAGGTAATGCTATAGGTTAAATAAATAAGAGGATTAAGAATACACTTACTATGATGAGCACTGAGTAATGTACAGAATTATTGAATCACTATATTGCACACCTGAAACTAATATAACACTATCTGAATTGTACTTGGATAAAAAATAAAACATAAAAATCCAAAAAATAAAACTTGAGAGGACACTTTTAATTTTAATTTCATTTTGACCTATTCTTTGTTTCATTTCAGATTTGTAGGGTAAAATCATTTGAAATTATCCAGTAAAGGTAATTACTCTTTGGTCACCACAGATAGTACTTTGAAGAAACAAATGGATTTGTGAATTTTAAACTGTTGTAAATAAAATAGCTAAGGATAATCAAAGTAAAAAAAAAGTCCATTTCTCCTTTTCAACTCATTATTTTATGTCTTTGCTGTATGCTAAGCACCAAACAAGTCACTTTGACATATAGGGTGGCAAAGCTATTAGAGAAAGTTATTCCCCAATCTGATTTTATTTTATTTTTTATTTTTTTATTTTTTTCCCAATCTGATTTTATACTCATCTATAAAGCAGATTCTGGGCTAGCTTCTAAAAATATAAATCCATATAGAATAAATTTTCCTCCTTTGGGAACTATTTTTTAATCAGTTGAAATGTTTGTAAACAACATGAAACATGACATATGACAATGTTTTCTGAAACATGTTTGGGCTTTAATCCATTAGCTACTTTCTACTCAATTTTTGGAATTAAAGAGTAGCTATACTCAAAGGCTTTATTATCCTCAGGAACCTGAGTATCCTTATGTGAGGGCCAAAGTCCCTGTAAATAAAAGATGCTATTATATTGGAAATCATAATGTTGGAAAAGGTTCAATTAACGGATTTGCAGTATTGGAGTCTGTAAACCCATTGCTTCTTTAGAGAATGATAAAGTTACTAATAGAAGCTTCTACTCATGACCTACCCTGTCCCTGTGTTTTGGTAAAGCATTCTTAGGAAAATGCCCTCTCTCAGCCTTGGGCTATCCACCCTGCCCATTCTAATTCCAATCTGTGATGATATTTTTATTACTTGGATCACTGCCCCTTAAAATAGTTGAAGTCTGTGGGCTCTATATATCAAGCCGAATGAGTCAATTTGATCACAGAAGTACTTTGAATTTAGACTCTAAAAGTCTGGATGAGCTTGTCATGTCCAGGTAACCCAACTCATGAATGCCTTGCCACACATGACAAATTAGGACCATGGTCAGCTGACTGTAATGGGAAAACTTGATAAACTTCTCTCCAGAATGTTCCTAGACAGCAGAATATTCATGGGGCCATGCCTCTAATGCTTCTGTGACCTGCTGAGAAAAGTGTTATTCCTCTTCTGTTCCCAACTGAAGGACTCAACTTTCTTGACAATTTGCCATAATTATTCTGTCTTTCATTTTCAACCATCAGCCTGCACTAAACCCTTTCTTGAATGTTAAGAAACTATAAATCTATTACTCCACTATTTGGAAAAGGTTTCTCCTCTTATTTTCCACTGGACTTCAGGACACTGGGGTGGGATGGGAAGGGATTTGGCATTAAAATTTCCTTGGGTTTTACCTATGCTGTGGTGATGCTGTGTGTCTGTGCAAAGTCCCATACATTTTGAGGAAATTCTACCATTGTACCTAGAAAGATTTTAATCATATCAATGTAAACCTCCTTAGCCAGAATTCCTAATGTAATAACAAGAAAAACCCCTAAAAACTTCCAATTCATACCTTATTACATGCTTTAAAGAATTGAATATTCCCTAAATGAATCCTAATTCTGAGGCATTAGACAAGCATATTTCTTTAAATTTTTTTAAATTTCTATTTATTTTATGATAGTCACACACAGAGAGAGAAAGAGGCAGAGACATAGGCAGAGGGACAAGCAGGCTCCATGCACCAGGAGCCCGACGTGGGATTCGATCCAGGGTCTCCAGAATCGCGCCCTGGGCCAAAGGCAGGCGCCAAACCGCTGCGCCACCCAGGGATCCCGACAAGCATATTTCAAATAAAGATATCATTCAATATTTTTTAAAATGTTTATTTTTAGAGGTTGAACAATAGTTCATTACAGATTTTCTGATGAAACAATTAGCAGTCTCAAAGATTATTTCAATAAATTTTAAAGCACAGATCGAATATAAATTGATTTAAATAGGTACATTTTAAAAAATAATTGGAGTTTTTAAAAGATCCCATTGAATGTATGTGGCATTATTCCTAGTTTTATGAATAGTATTTCAATTCATAAAGTTCTAGCAGAACTTCTTCAATTCTGAGTTCTAGCAGAAAACATCTACTGATTATTTTCTCTAGAAACTGGTAGCACTAAAATATTAAAAATATTAAAAATTATGCATTCTACTGGTTTGTATGTATGTGTACATGCGTGTATATGCACATGTATGATTTCTGCTTTGCCTATTTTACTATATAAATGATTACCCTTTCTTACTATTTCCTCTGAGGCTCTGAGCTCACTTCAACAGACCTGATCACTCAGAGCTTTTCTTGTCAACCCTTTTCATACATCATTTTCTAGTTTTCAAATATTTCCAACACTGCCTTTTATTTTGGACAAAGGCTTTAGTGAAAAAACTAAAGTACACTAAAATAAAACTGTATTTTGTCCCAGTGCTACTCACAAGCTGCTAGAACTTTCATGATTTCAATCACAGGGCTAGGGGAATTGGCTGGTCAGGATTCCCCCTCCATTGCTTCAGGTGCTTGATCTACAAAGCAAGGTGTAGATATACCTTCTATTACTGTGCACTGACTATGAAATTTAATTGTCTCTTCACTTCGTTTCAGCTGGCAAAGGATATAAAAATTCCAGGTGGAATAACATCAAAATTGGAAATATTCATTACCTATGAACCACTTTAAATATTTTCAGTCCTTTCTATTTGGCTACTCAACATTTCAATCTCCTTTCGTGATATGTACTCAGCTTCCTTTCTTTATTAACACCTCATCCTTTAAAGCTCAGTTACACATCTGTAATTTTTCTTGTTTACTTTGGGGCATCTCTGTAGATTCAGTTCACTATGGTCTCTGTTTACTAGAATAACAGCCACAAAGCACAATGGGAGTTGACTTCCTAAAATAGTTTACTGTCTTAATGCCTTAAAATACAATTTTAAGATAAAACTTATTTTTGAATCTTAACTTTGGGTAAATATTATGAAGAAAAAAATGAATTCTTAAAAGACTTGATTCTACATACTACTTAAATGAGAAAATTTTCTGAAATTCAAATATAGCAAGCTCCATTTGCTCAGCAATGAGGTACTTGCACAAAGTACCCCATGGCTTTTTGGTGTACAAATTTATAATAATGAAGACTACTTCTAAGGAAAAATGTTTGTTTTCTCTTTAAACTACTGCATTAAAAAGTCATTCGAGTTGTAAACACACAAGAATAAGCCAGTTTTAGGATCACATTATTGTGTCACAGTAACAGAAATGTGAATCACATTTATTTCTTTAATTCATGGATTCAGGTTCTCCTAAATTCTCATTTTGAGCTACTACACTCTTGATAGAAGTTGTTAGGAAAATCCAAATCATCATTCTTGGCACCAGAGTGTCAAGAAACAATGTGCTATCATGAAATCACACATAGTCAGCTGCTTTTGTATTTTGGTTAACCAGGTAGTTTGTAAATTAGTATCCTGCTAGTGCTTGCTTCATACTTTTGAAGCAGAACTAGAGGAATTATATTGAGGTATACTTTGCGGTAGTTCTGTTGCTTCTCTGTTGCCCCAGAACTAACCATGGTATTGAGGAAATTATGAAAAATTATGTTTTTCACCAGGTAGCAGGTACTATAGGTGACCAAACACCACCTATCTATGGCATCTATAATATATTGGGTGATAGACTAGCATGATTTTCACTACTCTAAATTTGATGAAAGCTGTATTTTTTTCAAAATATTTTTTCTTTCTTTCTTTCTTTCTTTCTTTCTTTCTTTCTTTCTTTCTTTCTTCTTTCTTTCTTTCTTTCTTTCTTTCTTTCTTTCTTTCTTTCTTTCTTTCTTTCTTTCCTTTCTTCTTTCTTTCTTCTTCTTCTTTCTTTTTTTACCTAAACATTAAATCCCAACATGTGGACTTATCACTTTTAGATTAATTTCTGATTTTACAGTAATAGAAATAGGAAAACATAAGCATTAGCAGCCAAAGGTTTTGTTGTTACATTTTGTTCTTTTTGTTTAATGACTGACCCGGGGGGGGGTAGAATTTTTATATAGTTTAATCTGGGATTGGGAAAATATTCAATGTTGTCTGATGGTCCCACTGTTGGCCAGATAAGAGTTTTGATAAATCAACCAATCTGTTTTTGGGGGTTAAAATTTGATGCCTACTTTAATGTATTAAAAAAAACCCTCATTCTACAGTACATGTGTATAGGAATTCAGTCCTGTATTCAGTCTTGCAAGTGTATTATTTGGTGGTTTTATTTAAAACAGCTATTGCACATTTTCAGGGGTTCTGAGGAAAATCAAGCATCTAAGACTTTCTTCCTCCTTATCAGGAGAAAACCAGCTTACCGTGGTATGAAAAAAACACAACTGGTCTCTGACTAGGGGCTTGACTGTCAAGGAACTATAAGTAAATGGGTAGCCTTTTCCCCTTTATCACTGTAGTTTTCTCCAGGCATGTAGGTTGTTCAGGCTTAGTCTGGTTTATAGCATAGTCATTATTTTCACTTAATAATCTAAACTTTGGTTCTTTATATGACTTTGCAAATGTACATAGAGTTTGTTGCTATTTTTTTTCTGAAAAACTTCACTCAGGGTCAATTATTTTGAAAGGATTTGTGATCTAACTTATTACAGGTTTCTTTACACCATGTAGTAAAATCTGAATATAGATACTGTCCAAACTGTCCAAAGAGTAATATTTGAATTCACAGTAACAAAAGTTACAAAGTTTGTGCAAAAGACATTGTACACCACTGGAGTACATAGAGCTTGCTATAGTTAATTTTATATATAAAGCTGCATTTCTCATTAAAACTATTTTACGCTACATTAAAAGTAAAGTATCTGATTTAATTTTTCCCTAACAATAAAACTGAATGCTCATTTAATCTCAGAAATATTAAGATGCAAGTTGCATATTTATGATGTTTGTAAATGTAATAAATCATTGGAACTTTTTAAACACCATAATTGTTTTGGAGCTCTTCAAGGTTTCCAAGGGTCATGAAGTAAACCCGGCTGTGGCGATTGCGCAGGGTGGAGGTAAAGAATAGCTTTAAAAAGAGAGAAAGAGATATCATCAGTAAATATTTACTACATTGTAATCTGATATTTGACAGATACAACTATAATTTCAATTATTCTACATCAACTAATTAAAATATTAAGCCATACTTTTCTTTTGGACCAGGATTTAAATGGAAGAAAAAGACTTTAAATTGGTATGGAGTCTAAATTATATATTAAAAATAATCTTCTATCATATTCTATATAATTGTACTTCACATAGTTAAAATTAGGTTTTCATTGTGGTACTCATCTGGTGACATTCTTGATTGACTTTGGTTAAGGATTATTCCTTTTGCTTTAAAAAATCTACTAAAAAATCTACTCAAGTTGGCTGTACTTTTTCTTTTAATATAAGGAAATGATTAAGATATTTGATGTTGTTCACCATTGTTGCTGCTGTTTAAATGGCTGCTGAAATTTTCTACTTGGTGGGATTTTCTATTTCAGTGGAATGTACTGACATCAATAGATTGATATTATGAGTTAAACTAACCAGTTTAGAGAGGAACATGTCTTCTGAGTATGGTCTGTGCCATAAAGAAAATTAAAACAGAACATGAAAATAAATAGCAGAGGCCTCCTTGTTAGGGCTAAGGCTTTCCACATCCGCAATGAATATACTTAGAAAGGTTTTGACATTGATGATGATGATAATAACACTAACTACCCTTGACTTAATGCATCTCATGTCTCAGGCAACCTGTGAGATGCTTACTATATACACATTATCATTAATTTTCAAAATTGTTATCAAAAGAATTATTAATATTTTCATTTGGAGATGAAGGAACTAAGAATCAGGAAGATTCATCAGTCTTCCAGATTCTTATACCTCATTAGGTGGCAGAACCAGTACTGCATGCTAAGTCTATCTGACCTCAAACACTGGTTCTTCCCATTATATCCCTTCATATTGCAAACCAGTACTTTTTCCTTCATGCATAATGTTTACCCTGCTTGTTCTGAAATTAATTTGAATCCTCTGCAATCTATTTAAAATGTGGATGTTTCCTAGTTTTGTCAGGGTTATTTTTTCATGCTATTATTTCTCATAGTACATAGAGACTGTAATGGTTTTATGTAATGTATATTTTCCATTTAAACTATCTGAATTTGTTGTTAAAATCGATCACATTACATAAATAATTGACAAATTTCAATTTTATTTTTCTTTCCTGTCAAATGGGATATTAGTACTGCAAAATGAAAAATTGTTTTTATCAATCAATAGTTTGCCAATTTGGGAATTATATCATAAACATATTTATGGCCAGAGGAAAAGGATTTTCTTACTTAATTTTCATTGCCTGCTTTATTTTTGCTGTAACTGCGGGATATAAACAATACCTTGTCACCTCGGGTACACAGAAATCTCAGCTTCTTAATTGACCTGCGCTTCAGTTCACTTTCCAGGACCCTTGATTGCAAAGAGCGGACTTCGATGGCCTTTTGGCCCCATCCTGTGGTTCGCTGTGTACACTCATAAGCTATAATATAAATTTAAAAATCAGAAAATTTTTTTCTATCAGTAATAGCAAATTATAACCATAGTCAGCATTTGATTATTAATAAGCTCATTAATAAGCTCAGTTTAGGTAAGCATATTTTGTTTTTCCTCCTTCTATAGTTAGTCATTTGGCCATGTGCTGCTCAGCAGTGGTATTCAAGCAAGCTATTCACTGTTATTAATTGTGATTATTCAAATGTTGAATAACTAGATTTTTTAAAAAGATTTTTATTTATTTATTCATGAGAGACACACACACAGAGAGAGGCAGAGACACAGGCAGAGGGAGAAACAGGTTCCATGCAGGGAGCCTGATGTGGGACTCCATCCTGTGACTCCAGGATCACACTCTGAGCCAAAGGCAGACACTTAACCGCTAAGCCACCCAGGTGTCCCTGAATAATTAGATCTTAGTCTTTGTATTCCTATTCTCTAATACCACAGAAAAAGCTAAATGTTAATTCTACCCTGTTTATAGAAAGTAAAATCTACCGACAGCCATTTGTTTTACAGTCTAGTTGAGGTATAGCATTCCATAAGGGTTTGTATTTGGGCTCCAGTGACATACATTAAAAATCTGATTAACTTCAAAATTAAGACTGTTAAAAAATGATTTGCTCAGATAATAACTTTAGCAACTCTAGTGCAAGTCAATGAATGACCACATTATAAACAGAACTAAACCTAATTTTTTTAAACCTAATTTGATACTGTGTCTTACTCAGGGAATTTTATTAAGATTTTAACTTTTGCACCCTGTGTCACCTACTACTTGGTAACAATAAAGATTATGACAACTGGATGTTGACAGATAGTGACTACACTTATTATGGCAAGCATTGAGTAATGTATAAAATTATAAAATCACCATGCTGTATACCTGAAACTTTACCTTTTTTTAAAATAAAAACTAATATAACATTATATACCAACTATATTTCAATTTAAAAATAATGAAAATTGCCTTAAAGCAGAAAACCTAATTATGCAGTCATATAGTCAGCTGGTGCTGAAAAGTATTTTCTGACACAGGGAGAAGTATTGTCGTTGAATGTTTAACTTTTAAGTAGATTTTTTATGTACTTCATTGGAACGTAAATTTTCATAAATAAATTCAATCCTGTACTTAAAATAATATCAAGATTTTGAGTCAAACTGAAATAGTCTAGAGAACACCAAAACAAGGCACCTTCATTCCCATGTTACATGACTAAAATCAGAATTCAGTTCTTAGACCTTCCATTTTCTTCTATTATAGAAACAATAAACTGAGTTATTATAGTTCAAAAATTTTCTTTATAATTCTCAAAAGTTCTAGAATGCTTTTGTTTAAACCAAACTTTACCTGGCCTATATATGTATACATTAAATATACATAAAAGGACTCATGAAAAAATTCTTAAACTTTGACAAAAGTGACTTTTTACAAGCATACTGTAAGGTATTTTGAATTCCTCAACTAAAACTTAAATAAGCATTTATGGTCTCTTGTTTCCTTTTCATTACAGTTCAAAATATTTCCATGTATGAAATTGATCACAAAATTGTAATTATATTACAATTTCATTTTTTTTACCATTATATTTCACAATGGTATTTTTATTCAGACAAATGGCTCTCCTGGACAATGACTTTATAAATCCAGTTTCAGACTGGAATTAAATACAAAGAAAGTGAGAGGAATCCATGACCTGAGTGCTGGAAATAAGTAGTAGATTTAGTCTATCTGGATTTGAATTTTTGTCGCCAATGTGAATACTTAATTGAAATTGGTAGTTTGTCAATAACCACACAGAGCAAAAAATTCTAAATTTGATACTTGCTGAGTCCAAGCTCACAGTTCATATGGCATGACAAAATTCACACCTTAATTCTGAAAAACATTAATTTGCTACTTAGCCTGGCAACTGAGCTAGCTTGCTTATGAAATAGGATCCAATGATTTGGAGTGGTAATGCTTAGTGATACCTGTTGTAATTGCTAAGCTTCTATATATTTGTTTGAAATTTCTAAGCAATGATATTATTATTGAAAACATTTATTATATCTCAAGGAAATGTAAATTTTATATTGGGGAAATCTGGATCTAGGTTAGTTGTAAATAGCAAAGCAATAGTTTTTAAACAGAAAGAGAAACTGATTTCCTTAATATAAATGTTATACTGTAGTATTTAGTATATTATAAAATATCCTTAATACACAAACTAAAATATCACATTCCTATAGTGCTATAACTTATTTTATGTGGAGAGAGATGCTTTTCAAGTTCTTGCAACTTAAAATAGCTTGTTTTAGGTCAGAAGTTGTCTTAAGGACAAGAGCTTGCCAGATGACATTTTTTAAAGACCGCTTTGATTCCTATGATTGTCTAGTGGCATAAATATAGAGGTTTGCTCAGTTTCCCATTTGAACTGAGTTTCCTTATTTTAATTTCTAATTAATATATTGATCACAAAAGTACCACTGTAAAGGTTAGAACAAGATTCATTATTTTCAGTTTATTTTGCCCCAGATCTGTCAATTAAAAGCATTTACTTCTGTCACTTAAAATGGTTTTAAACCCTTGGGAGTTCTTCATTGCTTGAAGAAATTCAAAGAGGTTTTCAGGACAATTGTTAACACTATATGTGCAAAAGGAAAGGATTCTACAGGTGCAATGCAAAGTGCCATCATCCCGTAATGTAAAAATGTCCATTAAAAAGCAGTTCTTTCAAATTGGTCTTTAAAGCTACATGGGGATCACATTTAACCATTTCATATAAAGATTTCGTTAGCTTCTGCCTCCTTAATAAACTACCTTTCTCTCTCTATCTCTCCTTCCCTCCCCTTCTCCTTTCCTTTTCTCTTTTATTTACTTCATTAACCCTTTCTTCCTTTCAGGAACATTTATCCTCCATCAAGTCATTCTACTCTTCCTAATATTTGTACTGTTCATATGCATTCTGTTCCCTGTCTAGAATCACCTTTGTAGTCACCAAGCCTCAGAGACATATACAAGAGTCTCAAGTTATTCATATTTTCCAAATCAGCAATGCTGCATTCGTTAAGAAGAAAAAAAATGTCCTTGCCTGATGAAGATGAAAGGCAGTTTTCTTTATGGTGCAATCTATTAGTACCTAATAGACATTCCAGAGAGTCATATTTATCTCCTTCATAAATGAAAGATGATGAAATCTTAGTGACCCAATATGTCACATATTTAGTTTGTATTTGATTCTTCACAGGATTATCACTCTCTAAATAGAACACTATTTGCTATATGAAATAGAAATATTCTGCTCTTCTTTTATGATTATTTGGCAATCTCCTAAGATAAGGGTAAACCCCCAAAATCAATGTGAGGGAATAAAGTATTCCCAACATCTGCATAAAATCTGCAAGGAAAGGGAGTTAAAATAAAATTATAGATTATTGTGGAAAGGAATTCCTTTCCTATTTTAGTTATATTACTATTGCACATGAACAACTTGGTCAAAATTAGTCTCTTTGTGGTAGCCTTGCGAATTTATTAAGTATATGGTAAACACACACCTTATTAAGTATCCTAAATTAACCCTATATGCCTGGAGAAAATGTGATATTTCAGAAAATAGAAGTTTTTCTGAGGTCATAAAAAAGAGAAAAAATTTTGTACATACCTACTGAAGATGGTATGTCTTTCCACACTTCAAGGATCTTCTTGAAGAGCTGTTCATTTGCTTCTAGAGAAAGGGCTTCAGCATTGAAGGTGAGCATCATGCCAATTCCCAAGGAATCAGGTAAAATGATGATATTCTGTGGTATAATGATTTCCAGGGGCTGGAATTATGTTTCATAAAGATTTATATGTCCAACATTTTATTACTACTACTTTAACTGAAGCGGCTTGGCTGAGCAATAAAGACAAAAAGGGCTTCAAAGTGCAGGGAGGAAGAGAAACTTCTATTTTAATATTAAACAGCATGCTACCCAACACCTGAAAACAACCTTTCCTATGTTATAAAGGCATCACTGTTCAAATAGTGTCCTTTATATTTAGGAGAAAACTTTGTTTGAAAAAAACATTTCCGGGGATCCCTGGGTGGCGCAGCGGTTTGGCGCCTGCCTTTGGCCCAGGGCGCGATCCTGGAGACCCAGGATCGAATCCCACGTCGGGCTCCCAGTGCATGGAGCCTGCTTCTCCCTCTGCCTATGTCTCTGCCTTGTCTCTGCCTCTCTCTCTCTCCGTATGACTATCATAAATAAATAATTAAAAAAAAGAAAAAAAACATTTCCAACACAGATAAAATTGTTGAAATTTAACGCAATGACAGAAGAAACATTACTTCTTACAAAGTGGGACTTCAGATTCATTTCAGCACATTTAGTGAATAGTTTAGTGATGAATATGTGAATCAACTAACAAATACACAATCACTGGTTATCTATCCAATTCATTTAAATCAGAAATAGAAAAATTAACTTAAAAATAGCTTGAGCTTAAAATATTTAGAAGGGGTAACTATAATATTCATTACTACTTGAAATATAACAGTCATTCTCCCTTCACAAAAAATGTAGGATTTCTTATCCAATTTATAAGTCATAAAATATCTTCAACATACAAATTCAGAGATGTCTTAGGCGACATAACATGAAATACTAAGAAATATCTAAGAATTTTTAAAATTTTATAATGCATGAAACAATGTGACAAAATTTACTTAAACTACAGAAATTGCCACATTTATAGTATTTCTCTGAAAAATGAACAATTACATTCCTTTATTATTTCTCTAAATTAGCAAGTTACAGGAAGAAAAGGTCAGAAACTATACTTGCCAAACCCAGCGTACTCAGGCCAAGTGCTTCAGGCCATGTCTCAGCAACAACAATCCTTAAAACTAAAATGGGGATCCAGAGGCGAAAAGCAATTTTAATGCGTTCCCTGGGCACTTGCATGAGCAATTGAATCAGAGAAGAGATGAAAGAAGAGAGAAAAAGAAATTGCAAGAAAGAAGGCTGTCTCTAAAAAATCTGTTTAGAATAAAGCTGGACTGCTGTAAATTCAGAAAGCCCCAGAGATAATTCTTTGCTTCTCAGATGGTTCCTGCAGTAATCAGATATTCTTTAGCACACATGGCTCCCTTGTAGCATTACAGGTTTTGTAATCTGGCACTCTTGGAAAAATATAATCTTTAATATATTCTGTTTCAGAAGACACTCCTCTCCCTTATATTAGATTCCTTTCTCTTTTAATGGGTCAGGACATTAGGGCAGTTAGCTAAAAATACTATTTTTGAATATACTTAAGGTATCCTAATTAGGTCAGAAAATATTTTTTTTAAAAAAATTGATCTCCCATTCTTGCCTCCACAATAATGAACTGATTGCTTCAAAAGGAAATAATTCTCCTTTCTTGGTAATCAAGTGGAACAGAGAGTGCAATCTTCTTGAATGATGTTTCAAATCAGTATAAACTTGGACCAATACTGCAATTTTTAATATGGCACTAGCTTCAAAACAAAGGCTATCTGCTATTACATAGAAAATAAGATGCAGGAAGCTATGGAACACTCAAACTGAAACGTACTGTAAAACATATTAATATTAATCTTAACTCATATCTATGTGGCTTTGGCTGGGCTCAGCTCAATATTTTCTACTTTATAAACAGGGTGATTTCTATATACTCATAGGTGACAACTGAGTGATGAGTTAATTAGATTTTTAATATGACCAAAATGGTTTTTTTTAGTGTTTCCACTGATAATTTGACAATTGCTCTATGTAATTTGTCAGAGATGTATGAGATAATTCTGAAAGCTATGTAAAATATCACATTACTACAGTGATTTAAAGTACATGGAAGTTTTCTCCTGGACTTTTATATAATGTTAAGCTGCTAAAATTTTAGTTGTCAACAAACTGGGGAATTAAAAAATGATGAGGCAGAGATTTGTTGCTTCAACCCTTTTTTAAAATATAATTTTCTATAAAACAAATATCACTGCTACCATCAAATTTGAGACACACTAGAATTATATTTTGTATGGTGCATATGTATAGGGGGTATTATGTTCGAACTCTATATAAATGATGTGTATAGTATATTTACAACTACCAAATTTTAGATATTTTGCCACAGAATCATCATGTATAAGTATTTGAGAGTAAAGAGTTGAGGTACATTAGCTTTTAAAGTGCTGAATCCTTTGATCAGAAAGTCTAGCTATAATTGATACTATAAGAGAACACTTTATGATAATTTGCTATATATAACAGTTAAAGTACTATCATTTGAATAAAGAAGGGGATGATGCTGCTGCAATACTGGTGTAGTTTTAAAGAATCTGTTTATGTATTATGGGGTGAAGAAGGACTAAAAGCAAAGATTGTAAACTCATACATCCATTAGGACTGGTTATTATAAATATATAAAAGTGGATGGATAGGCAATGTATAGTATATATTCCATCTAAAAGGGAGCAAACATAAAAAATAATAAAAGGAAGCAGGCATGAATCATTTCCAGTTGATAATGGCCAAATATTAATAAGGGCTAGATGTTATCAGATCTTTTGGTTTATCAATAGAAGTTCAGATTTTTCAGTGTAAACTATTCATTTAATTTTTTTTTAATTTATGATAGTCACACACAGAGAGAGAAAGAGGCAGAGACACAGGCAGAGGGAAAAGCAGGCTCCATGCACCGAGAGCCCGGCGTGGGATTCGATCCCGGGTCTCCAGGATCGCGCCCCGGGCCAAAGGCAGGCGCCAAACCGCTGCGCCACCCAGGGATCCCCTAAACTATTCATTTAAAAACAAACAAAAAACACCATGCCAGACAAACAAAATCTATCTGAAGAAGAGACTCAGCTGTCTGGACTAAGAAGCCATCAATAATTTCTGCTTATCCATTACTACTTCCTGGCACTCTATACTTACCTTTTAGGTTTCAGTTCCAGTATAGATATTGATAATCATATTTTTAAATCATTAAGAGTTTTGACAGATTGTGGTGTACAGTATTTCTAGGGATCTTACGTTATTTGGCAGAGTCACATCAGACATAACCTCAGATTCGGCATCAATGATGTGATATCCATCTGTTGAGCTGAAGAAAATCTTTAGTCTTTTTTCAGAACCAATAGCCAGGTCAACTGTCACTGGCTTATGACCAACTGTTGGAAACACCTGTAGATAGAAAACCAAATATGGCCAAAAGGCCAAAAATGACACTCTGACTAAAGCAAAAATTCCCCTGCCCTTTTGTTTAGTGAGTTTATAAAACCCTAGTTGATTTTTTAAGTTACATAATATATTTAGACTATGTATTATGACTTTTTGTTAGGTCTGTTACTACAATAAGAACATAATTATATTCAGGCTCTAAGTTTTGAGTTTCTCTGCGGAGGCCAAATATCCAATGATCATAAGGAACATTTTATGGCCCTGCACTCTGCTTGCTGTCTTTATATTCCTTGCCTTGAGCTTCAGCAAATGAAGGAGCTCATCTGGTCTCTTAAACCGGTTCGCTGGATCAGCTGCCTGTATTTTTGCCAGTATTCGTATATAGGCTTCATAGGACATGTAGTCTCCTTCGGAGTCTGCTGATTGATCAATGCATACTTGGTAGGGAATGAAAAAGGCCAGACATGTTAACCTACCATAGACTGGATGTACTCTAGGCTCCTATGGTTCCTAGTCCAAGGAAACAAAAAGTCAAACAGGATTCATTGCCAAGTTCAGGTCACAGTAGAGGACTGGGCATCACAGGATTCATTATACTGCAGTCATGAGGTGAGATTCAACAACTGGAGGAGGACTTGGACCAGGAACTGTATGTCAGGCTAGACAGACTGTTGGTACTTATCTTCTTTGTTTTCCAGCTCCATATCAGGCAGCTCTGACCAATCAGCAGACAGCCAAGAACACACCCATATCCAAATACAGACAGCTGACCCAAGGCCCAATTTAGGGAGATCAGATCAGACATGTAATTTGTGTCAGGACAGATGCAGGCTGTCTATATGATAGTCTGTGCTATTTACAAAAGAACATATTTATTGTGAAAATAGACATTGAGATGCAGTCATAATTAGTTCATCTTTATTGCACACATGTGATGCTTTGGCCGCAAAATATGCCATGTAAACATATCTTGACCTAAGATACAAAAATATTACATAAATACCTTGCTGGAGTCTATCGTGATGTGTCCTTATCAGTGCTTTGTAAAAACTTGTCCATGGACCAACTAGTTCAAAGTCACATTTGCTAAAAATATAGATTCCCAGGCCCCACCCCAGACCTACTAATTTAGCCTGAGGTTGGGTCTGAGATCTAAACTTTCAACAAATGTTCCAAATGATTCTGATGTACACTCCAGATTAGGAGTCACTGGACTCTATATAATGCTCCCAGTTCATTAACCAGTCCTTACTGCTATGGAATAAACACAAAATAATCCTATTTACATAGAATTCTGGAGTATCATTAAAAATAATAAAGATAAAAAGTCCCCAGTTTATGAGATGAGATTAAAAAATCATTAGCAACTTAACTGTTTGGGACACCAACTGGTTACCTTAAGAGGCTGATCCATAGAAGTTCAGCTAAACCATAATAAAGGTGGAAATATTACTGGTAATCCAAATAAGCCTAACCACCATTCCTTGCAATAGTTCTGGGGAGAAATGTGTTTAGAGTTCCAGCTCGGAAGAAATATAGACCCTTCTGCCCTTTCCTCCCCAACCCCATCTATTGTAGCCCTGGTAATTAGAGCAAAGACTTGATCTCTTATTCCTCTTCCAGTGGGGCTTCCCCCTCTACCACTGTCACACCTTTCTTTACCTTCCCTCTGCTCTCCACCCCCCACTAAGAGAGAACAGATACTTTCTCAGCTTCAAGTCATTGGGGGTGGTAGCACCCAAAACCTGCATTTGGGGCTCTAGAAGAGAAGGTCTTCATGTTGACTACAGAATTGGGAGTGAGGAGCTGGTAGGGAGGTCCTCTAAAGGGAGGGGTCAGGGATTTCCCTCACACTCTCCCTTGCTGTAGTGCCTGTGAATTATCTAAAAAAGGGTTAAATGATAATTATTGACATGGTGTAGCCAAATTACATTAACTATAGAAGAATGGTATTTATTTTTGCTACTATATTTAAAAATATTGCTGTGTTTACAGTTTCCCAAAAGAAAAACTATATGATCCAAGTTTGAAAAAGGAAACCACTTACTTTGATAGCAGTGCTTTCATCAAAGGATTTTGGTGCCCAAGCGTAAAGGTGAATTGATGATTTCAAAGCAATTGCAATATATGTTGTTTCTTCATGTTGGACTACAACAATAAAATACAAAGAAGTAACAATGCTACAGAGTTCACAAGAACACTCAAGTATTTTTATTGGTCCTTAAAAATATTATAACTATAATATAAGAGCACAGATCATATATTTTTAGTACAGCTATTTAGTTACAATTTGATGCCCCCTAAAAGGTGACAAAACTAACTATATGGTTTTATTGAGTATATGCATTAGCCTTCAAGAGCACTCTAAATTGTACACTGAAAACTACAGAACATTGTTGAAAGAAATTAAAGACCTAAATAAATGGAAAGACTTCCTTTGTTAATGGATAGGTAGACTTAGCATTGTTAAGAGGGCAATACATGTATGGACCTAGAAGGTATTCTGCTAAGTGAAATCAACCAGACTGTGAAAGACAAATACTGTATGACTTCACTCATGTGGAATCTAAAAGACAAAACAAATGAATAAACAAACAAGAAGCATAATCAGACCTATAAATACAGAGATCAAACTGATAACAGCCAGAGGGAAGGCTGGTAGGGGATGGGCAAAATGGGTGAAGGGGAATGGGATGTATAGGCCTCTGGTTAGGGAATGAATAAGTCATGGAAATAAAAGCAATAACATTGGTAATATAGTTAATGCCATAGTAACTTTGTATGGTGACAGATGTTAGCTACACTTGTGAACACAACATAACACACAGAGAATTTGAAGCACTAGGTTCTATACCTGAAACTAATGGAATATTATGTGTCAACTATATAAAAAAAATCCAGCTGAGCCCTAGTCAGCTCGTACACTTAGGAGAAATAACAAATCACTGTTTTTTAAGCCACTAAATAAATAAATAATAAAAATGAAAATATTTTAAAAAGAGGATAGCATTATCAAAGTGATCTATGGATTCAATGCAATTGCTATTTAAATCCCAATGGCCTCTTATGCAGAAATAGAAATGCTCATCCTAAAATTCACATGGAATTGGAAAAGGCCCCAAAAAGCTAAAAGAATCTTGAAAAAGAAAAACAAAGTTGAATGACTCATACTTCCCAAATTCAAAACTTACTACAAACTACAGTAATCAAAACAGTGTAGTACTGAGATTAGGAAAGGCATATAGGTCAACAGAGTAGAATTGGGAGTCTACAAATAAACCCATATATCAATGGTCAATGATGTCCTGACCATTCAATTGGGAAAGAATACTCTCTTCAACAAATGGCACTGGGACAACTGAATTTCCATATACAAAATAATAAGTGGAACCCCTCACCACACACCATATACAAAATCTAACTCAGAAGGGATCAAAGACCTAAATGTAAGAGCTAAAACTATAAGACTCTGAGAAATAAATATAGAAATAAGTCTTCATGGCAATGGAGTTTTTTATATTGTTTTATATTTGCCACCAAAAGCATATGCAACAAAAGAAAAAAACAGATAAATAGGTTTCATCCAAATTAAAATTTGGGGCTATCAAAAAAACACTGTCAAAAAAGTGAAAAGACAATTTATTAAATGGGAGAAAATATTTAAAAATCATGTATCTGATAAGGCCCTAGGATCCAGAATATATAGAATGCTTAGAACTCAACAACAAAAAGAGAGATAAATAAGTAAGCAAGTAAATAAATAAATGCACAACATTATTAGCTGTCAGGGAAATACAAATCAAAACTACAATAACATGTCACTTCACATGCACTTGAATGCCTGGAATCAAAAGATAGACATCTATAAGTGTTGGCAAGATGAAAAATAAAGCTTCCATACTCATGGCAATGTAAAACAGTACAGCTACTTTGAGAAACAGTCCGGCAGTACTATCCAAGAGAAAAGAAAACATGCATTCCCATGTACAGACACATATATGAAATGTTAGTAGCAGGCAAAAAGTGGAAAGAATACAAATGTAAACAATGGATGTATAAAAACTGTATAAACAATAGGTTTATCTATACAGTGCAATACTATACAGCAATAAAAAAATAAGTACTGATATATGTTATACAGGTTTCATTATGCATGAACCTTAAAAACGTTATACTAAATTACAGAAGACCATTACAAAGACCATAAAATATATGATTCCATTCAAACAAATTATCCAGAGGAGAAAAATATTTTAGGAAAGCAAAATATATCAGTGGTTATTTAGGACTGTGAGGAGAAAAAGATGAAGGTAAGAGGGATGGAATATGGAGTGATTGCTAATGGCAATGGGGGTTCTTTTTGGGGTAATGAAAATTAGATTATGATAATGGTTATACAAGTCTATAAACATACTAAAAACCATTGATTATATACTTCTAAATGGGTAAATTTTATGGTATATAAATTATTTCAATATAGCTGCTTTTAAAAAAAGAAAAATAAGAATAAAAAGGATATGCTTTCTCTCAGACTCTCTGATTCTTATGGAGTATGTTGGCCTACTTGCTAGATTTACATTTTGTGCTAAAACCGTTCTTCCTCAGTAGGAATATTGCTTCTGTCCGTTCTAGTCAGACTTTATCATAGGCCAAATATAAGGCTTCTCTTTCTACCATCCCCCCACTTTCTTACTCATATTGTCTCTCTCTCTCTCTCTCTCTCTCTCTCTCTCTCTCTGATTCTAGTTTTTTATCTTTCTCTTTTACACTGTTCCCAAGTAGGTCAAAGAAACATGATCAATAAACCCCCAACAAGCAAAGAAATTCTCTGTTAAGCAAACACTTCCTTTTAATTTTAATATATGGCAGTAATTGGTGTCAGTTAATTATTTTATGTATCTTGAAAGGCTATGAAAATGTCATGCAAGTATGAGTACATGAGTGTTCCACTGTATTGAAGATGTTTTACATGTCAGTAGACAAAAGTTTCTAGTTGTTATGAGAGTTGGAGAGGGGTGGAATGGGGTCAACCAGGAAAACTCATCTTAACTAGTTCATCTACTTACCAAGAACACAGATGTGCAAGATATTATTGTAATCTCTCTCTTATTGAACTAAAAATTTACAAGTTAATAGGAGGCAGGTAGTTCTGCTATATAAACTCCTTGTTTAACATCTGGGGATCTGTTTCACCTTTGGCTACCAAATACATATAATATTATTTGGAAGAGAAGTAGTGATACATAAAACTGGAAGAAAGTAGTGCATTTATTTAATTCCTGGTTTGTCTGGGTACTCACTTCTCCCTTTAATGGTGTATGTGTATTTATATACATACATATGGAAACCTATTCAGGAAGGCCCCTATATGCAGAACAGAAATGGTCAGTCAGAATAACAATATCATGCTAAAACTCATATCATGTGATTCCAGCTATCTCTTATCTATGCCACTAGTTCTGTCTGAGGGGTAATTAGTGAAAGAGAAGGAAGAAAACAAAGGCTGAGAATAGAGGATATTTGCTTCAGAAATAGAACAGAATGGGATAACATCACTTCTAGTTGTTGACAGATGAAAGCAGGATCCTGAAACCCTGGAGCTGTTACTTCATCTTGCAGTGGATGGTTGTAAACAGGGCATATGAAAAAATTCTACTTAGAAAATATTTAGCAATTATACTCATGAATATTGACAGTGGGAGCAAGAGCCAGCAGATCACAGAAGAATTTTCTTTTGGACTCATTGCAAAGTTTCCTGGTCAGTATTAAGAAAAAAATTCTGATTTAAGAAAGTGAAAGTATTCTGTGATTCTATTTTACTGCTGTTCCAAGGAAAGATATTATAATATGAATCTCCTTGCAGGTTATTTAAGATACATCAAGAACATTTATATAGTTGGAGTTATGTGGAGGCAAGAAAAGAAGTATCAGGGACGCCTGGGTGGCTCAGTGGTTGGGTGCCTGCCTTTGGCTCAGGTTGTGATCCCGGGATCTGGAATTGAGTCCTGCATCAGGCTCCCTGCAAGGAGCCTGCTTCTCCCCCTGCCTGTGTCTCTGACTCTCTCTCTCTCAGTCTGTGTCTCTCATGAATAAATAAATAAATAAATCTTTAAAAAAAAGTATCAGTTCATCTGGACTAATTAGAGTGACTGAAAGGAGAAAGGTGAGAAAGTAAACCAAACTTAACTTCAAAGCTATTTTAGTCAATCAATACTTTCTCAATAGCCAGGATTGTGTCATAGAAGACCTGGAAATTGTCTCAGTGAAATTCACTCATTTTTGTATAGGAAGTTACAAATAAGGACACAAAACCAAATCCAAAGGGTAAGGTGTTCTTTTTAAAGATTGGTTTTGTGTCCTTATCATATTGCAAGCTTTCCACTTCACTTCCTGTTGCATCATCTTTTATTGGAGGTGAAAGGTTTTGAGGTGGAACAGGGGACATGCTTGGTGACTTTGGCTCAGTGAGTATCTTCTCTTTTATAGGAGTTAAAACTCGCTTCTTTTAATACTGTAATTCATGTTCATTCTGGGTCTTTAATTCAATTAAAGACTAAAAGCAATTTTTAAATAAAGTATAATTTGCAAAGCACTTTCCTTCATAATTAAGCAAAAAACGAGATGTTGTTTTTTAAAAATATAAGCTTCCTTTCCCAGTTTGGAAATTCCTAGTCTATTTTTCTTCATAATTTGAAAAATTTTCTTGTAGCATCTAGGACCAGAAAAAGGAAGATGAACAGGAAGGAAATATGATATCGAGAGCTGAGTACCAAAATGTATCCTAACTGTAAGAAGGGCTATTTGATAAAACAAGTCAGGCCAGGTGTCCAGGGAATGGTTATTATTACCAAAGCAATAAATATAATGGAGGCCTGCTACTAAAACAAAAAATAAAAACATATCTAATACGATTTTCTTCCTTTCCTTTGTTCAACCTTCTTCTAAAAATATATGCATATATATAAAAGGAAGTTACAAATACTTTTCTTTATCTACTTTGCCTCTCACAACAATATACTTTACTAAACGAAGGAAAGCAAACTTTATATAGCTATAGTAAACATAAAATGAGACTTACGGACACTGAAGTGTTCACAGCCTGTCAACTTATCAATAGCTTTGCAGGCTTCCTCTGTCTTTAGCATTTCCTCTTGTCTCCTTTTACTTTCTGGATCATCATTCAAAATCTTGTTCCTCAGCCAGGTCAAATGATAAACCCTAAGTCTGTTCTTATGGCCTAATAGGTAAGACACAGTATTTTAATTCAGTCTTTTTTTCATATATTAGAAAAACACAACAAAGTATTTTTGCCTTTTAAACAAATTTTATTAAAATAAAAAGTTCTTTTAGAAAAACTACACTACTAGATTTTTCCCTTCAGTGTTTATAAATATGATAGCAAATTTTTTTCTCAATCTAGTTTACCCTCACTGCTAATTTTTTAATTGTAAATCCCAGAAAATTCATAGAGTTCCTTCAGGAAAAACAGACCAATAAAGTACACATTTGTTTTCATGTGCAGTGACTTCATATTCATTTTTTACAGTTTTGTTATATGATTTATAGTCTCAACAACAGGATTCTTATGTGATTAATCTTAAATATGTCTTTACATGACAGTTTTTGAAGGAGCATTAGAATTCAGACATCTATGTCTATTTCCATTCTATTATTAAGTGGTAGAATTGCTCTAAACTATTAGGTATCTTTCTACACTGATGTTCTCAGTGTTATTTGATGCAAAAATAATCCATTGTAAGAAAAACTTAAGGATTAAAAAGGGCACATTTGAGTTAGAGAAATCTGGATAAACAGTAAAGAAATCTGTTATTCAGATGCACAGTCTCTAAGCCACCCAGATGTTTTCAAAATCTAAATTTTGTATCTGTGCACCTCTAGCAATTATAAATGAATGAAAATGAAACATGACCAAAAACATCATGAAGCTTTAGTATATCTATAGAGGGCTTTCTCCTCTAACCAAAACTTAGAGCAAAGTTAATAATTTCTAGGAACATACATAGTCATTAATTAATGTGCCATATAGCTATGTTGAGTAATGACAATTATCATTAACATCCATTTATTTGCTCTCTTATATTCGGATATTCAGGTTCTGACCAAAACTAAGAAATTCAATTACTACATGGGAAGAAGGGAAAGGTCTTAGGGTATCCATTCTTGTTAGTAATCCTATCTGTAGACCCTCATTTTTATCCAGTTATTGTCCACTTTGTTCTTTATTGCTTCTAGCTTATTATAAGAAAGTATGTGATGGATGTGATCATCTGCACATGGGTGGGTGAAATTGTGAGTTGTAAAATTATAGGTGGCTACTCAGAAAAGACTTGACAAATGTAAATGGTATGTTTTTTTCTTAACAAATGACCTAGAGGGCAGCCCTGGTGGCACAGCGGTTTAGCGCCGCCTGCAGCCTAGGGCCTGATCCTGGAGACCCTGAATCGGGTCCCACGTCGGGCTCTCTGCATGCCTGTTTCTCCCTCCGCCTGTGTCTCTGCCTCTGTGTGTGTGTGTGTGTGTGTGTGTGTCTATGAATGAATAAATAAATAATTAAAAAAAAACAAATGACCTAGATAAAGTGCATTACAATCAAATATCCAGACACCAAAGGAGAGTCAGAAATTAAACTGTAAATAGATAAGAAAACACAAGTAGGAAAGTTTGGTACCCCAATTTAAGGTTAAATTTAACACGCTTTCCTATGAACAGTTTAACCTGAAAAGTCTTTATCCTAGTTTGGAACCTAATTAACCTACATAATTACTTAGCTAATTTTAGTTCTTAAACAAACCGGAGATAGTAATCAGCAAATTGAGTGGCTCTACAACTTGAATCTGACGAAATGGTCTTCGCTTTATCAGTTTAGTGATGTCTGCCTTTCCACTTCTGTCCATCAGATACAAATTAGATCGGGTTCCCAACAGCAAATTCACTCCTGTTTGCATATAAAAAGAAAAATGCTATATTAGCTTACATTACATTTTTATAATTGAACTTGTATTGGTACTTTTGCAATTCCAGGTACCGATCTGTGCAAAGATGACATATCATTTTAGGTTAATGTTAACCTCATATTGTATAATAATGAACCCTCTACCAACAGAACAAATTTCTCTGAAATATATTTAGATGTAGAATATAATACCTTCTGGCAATATTTCTACAGCCTGGTGTCTGGTGTGGCATCTCAAAAGGAGAACTGTATAAATATCTCAACACCCCTGAGCAGTATCCCAAACTATAAAAATCAATCAACCCTTTTGAAAATAATTATTAAACATTAAGGATATCTAGTGTATATGAACAATTTAATTCAGTTGATTCCTCATTCCTAATTATAACAAGGGGTTTTAATGCTTTTAAAATAATTTTATGTAAATTGTTTTTAAATTGAATGAACCTATGTTCACACTTATATTAAAAAACTTACATTGCAAAATACCTATGAAAGTAGTTCCTACTTTTATGTATCTAAATTCATACACTCTATTATTTGCTGCTCTATTTATTCAAATATAAACACTGTTAAAAGACTGAATGAGAGGACTGAAATAGAAGATTAGGCTAAATTATAATACACTTCAAACCACTGTGGGAGTTTTCTCCCATAACCTGAGACACAGACAAAACTCAGCCAAGTAATATTAATGAAGAGCACTTCAGTGTTTTGCTTCTATTGGAGACTATTTGTGTTTCAAAGATATAAGGAGAAAAGACAAGTGTTTCTGCTTTCATTTTCCTACTATGTCCTTTACCAGTTCTCTAAGTAATGGCTTGTGGCAGATTTAGGAACTGTATTTCTTCCGACAGGGGAATCAGAGAGGGAGGGGGACAGTATGGTTAGTTTTCACTGTAATCTTTTATTTTTCAAAATATAGAACCACAAATTATAAAAATGAATTATTAGACATTAATTAGATCTCTGGGTAGTTGCCTGACTAAAATGATAATGAAGTAAACTTTGCTTTCTTGTTATCCGACACAATATATTAGTTTTGAGGGTAATGTGTTTTTCTAAGTTATTCAATCCATGTAACTATAATGTTTGCTATACTGTTCCATTTTTAATTTAAAATTCTCTCCCCTGTTCAAACATACATTAAGCAAAATCTATGAAGTTGCAAGGCAGAGGTTGGCATTTACTTTGAATTTCTTCCCTCCTTCTACTTATTTATTGTTTCATTTATGATTCACATTGGCTTGAGGTAAAATATCGTCTGAACCCTACCAATGTGGTTATAATTCTTCTAGAACAAAGGATTGAAAAAAGTCTGTCAAAGTTAAGACATTATCAAAGGTCATACAGATGGCTAACAGACACATGGAAAGATACTCAACATCACTCATCATCAGGGAAACGCAAATCAAAACTATGAGATACTACTTCACACCTGCCAGAATGGCTACAATTAACAACATAGGAAACAATAGATATTGGTGAGGATGCAGAGAAAGGGGAACCCTCTTGCACTGTTGGTGGGAATGCAAACTGGTGCAGCCACTCTAGAAAACAGTGTAAAGGCTCTTCAAAAAGTTAAAAATACAACTACCCTAGGACCCAGCAATTACACTACTGGTGTAATTACCAAAAGGATACAAAAATACTAATTTAAAGGGACACATGCATCTTGATGTTTCTAGCAGCATTATCAACAACAAATTATGGAAGGAGTCCACATGTCCATCGACTGATGAATGAATAAAGAAGATGTATAATATATATTACTCAACCATAAAAAAGAATGAAGTCTTGCCATTTGCAATGTAGATGGAGCTATAGTATATTATACTAAGTGATATAAGTCAGTCAGAGAAAGACAAAAGCCATATGATTTCAGTCGTGAAATTTAAGAAACAAAACAGATGAGCATAAGGAGAAGGAAAAAAGAGAGGGAGGCAAACCATAAGAAATTTTTAAAATTTTATTTATTTATTCATGAGAGACACACACACACACACACAGAGAGAGAGAGAGGCAGAGACATAGGCAGAGGGATAAGCAGGCCCCATATAGGGAGCCTGATGTAGGACTCCATCCCAGGACTCCAGGATCATGCCCTGAGCCAAAGGCAGGCGCTTAACCACTGAGCCACCTAGGCATCCCAAGAGATTCTCAACTATAGAAAACAAACTGCGGTTTGCCAGAGGGGAGGTTGGGGGGTGGGCTAAATGGGTGATGGGAATTAAGGAGGGCACTTATTGTGATGAGCACTGGGTGTTATATGTAAGTGATGAATCATTGCATTCTTTTCCTGAAACCAATACTACACTATATGTTAACAAACTAGAATTTAAATAAAAACTTGAAACATTAAAAAGAGACATTATACAAAGATCTTTCTCTTCGAATCCACAAGACTATTTAAAAACAAGAACATACAGAAATCTGTCTTGTAATATCTCATTAGGTATCAAATGCTACACACTACCCTAAAGTAAAAGTACTAAGCTCAAATTTTTAAGTAATCATAACCTACTTTAATTTTATATTCTAGTCAAGTTAATTCAAATTAAAAAGAAAAACAATAAAAAGAGGAAGGAGTGCAAATTCCAACATCAAACTGCACTGAGTGAAAATAAATCAATGAAACAAAAAGGAACAAATTGTCTACTATAAATATATATTTTTTATTTGCTTGGTAATGGTTTGGCAATAACAAGTGTTTTACATCTATGATTTTTCACAAGTTTGCTACATTGATAAAAATATATTCTTTAAAAAAAAACAACTCCATGTTAAGAAACCAAACTTACCCCACAAAGAACCACAGCAGATCTCAGAAGTGAATTCCTTTTCATACATGTGAATTAGTGGTTTCTTACATGCAGGGGACACATATAGTGGGTTAACATTGACTTCAGAGGATCGCTTAGGTGATTTCTCAGGTGCTTCCACTAATCCAGCATACACTGTGAAGAAGTAAGGGGAAGATGTTCAGAGAAATTACTAGTGTACACACCATAGGTGCCTGAATGTTTCCACAAATAAGGCACAGCCTAGAAAAGTCTTTTCCTTTATTGTATCTTATTTTTCCTGGAGGTATCACTTCTATAACTCCTAAACCATCAGATAACACAAATCATGATGGTTAAAACACATTTCTGAATATGAATGTATTTCAAATTACCATGATTAGATTGCAAAAGAAAATCCAGCTGAGGGACTCAATTACTCAATTGTAGTTTAAATTTAGGTGCCATGAAGACTCAGTGAGGAGTATATTTTTTAAAGCATGTATCCATCTGAATTTATGTTAACTGAATATCAGAATGATTCCAGTCTTTTCATAGGATGAACCAGGGGTCAAACCCTGTAATGTGTGAACAGACTTAAGCATTTGGAGATTATATTAAACATACTTACAGATGGCACTGGCAAAGTCAGCATTTGCAGCCCTCCAAAAACCATTGGAAGGAGATGAGTAGCTGGCAGAAAAACCTGATTGTGTTGATGCTTCTGATATGTCCATGCTGTCATTCTCATCATCAGGTGCTGCTGCTGCAGCGCCAGAGGCAATGGCATTTGAGGCCTCGTTTCTACCACCTGGTTCCTAAAAGAAGATCGAAAATCAATTTTGACCTTATTCAGAGATTAACTGTGAGAGAAATATAACATGCTTAGAGGTCGTTTGAAAAAGAGAATGCAAAGTTTGCAGCATCTGTAATTCTGCACCCTTTAAAATCCACATTTATCAGAATTCAACAATGTTATCAGAAGAGAGAGAAGTAACCTATATGAGACAATTGATGTCAGAGGAGAAATTTAAGGAGCTTAAAATCCCTAGCTGTGCAATTTGGGACCTAATATTAGTGGAATTTTTTATTATACACTAGGTACACTGCCAGTTATTTTATTTACGTATTATTGCAAATCCTTACAATAACTCAAAAAGTAAGTTTAGTTATCTCCATTTTACTTAGAAGGAAACAAAAGCTTAGCAAAGTTAAATAATTTATTCAAATCAGAGATAAGTTAGGGGAACCAGAGTTTGAAGCCAAAGTCTGATTCTAAAGCTTACGTTCGGCTATGCTGTGCTGAATAGCCACTTGAAAAAATTAAAAAGCACGAGTTGGGGGTATCAATTTTACTTTGTCACATGAAAAAGCTAATGATGGAAAACCAACCAACACAAATTCAAGGGTATGACCATGCCTCACTGAAAATTGAGTTGGCTTCCATTAAGTTACATAGAAAAAACTCAAGGTAGAAAGCTACAGAATGTGACAGATTTTATGTGGGATGCCATACCCTGTGGAAAAAAACATACCAACTGCTTTGGTAAGCCTGTCTGTTGATAAGCATTTCTTTGTGTCTACACAGTGACTCGGTATTGAGAGAGCTGTGCTGCCCTGTCAAAGAGTGTTTTTATGACCTTTTCAATCACAAAGTGTTTTATGGCAACATGTCCTTTTCAAATTAAAATAGAAGGAACATATACTATCTTTGTAGATATCAAAAACATCCCTTGCAATAATTGGAGATACTTGGGGGTGCTATGGAAACTATGATGGGAATTCTGTTTTAATGTCTTTAATTAAGATATGTAAGTAGGGAGGGAACAAGGGAGAGGAAAAGAGAGAGACTTTCCCACTCATACTGCTTTCCTATTGGAAATTCTTCTATAATTATTGTGTCTATCATAAACTAAGTCCTAGTTTGGGCCCTGGGATTGGGTGAGTGGGTAGAGAAAAGTAATCAAGAATAGGTTACAGATAGTTGTTGCCTTTTAAGAGTTCACGATCTAGTATGACAGAAAAGCAAGTCAATGACCAAATACAATTTCACAAGTACTAAAATGAAACTATAGGCAAAGTGCTTGCAAACACAGAGGGAGGAGTATAAAATTCCTTCTTGAAAAGTCAAAGATGATACTATGAGTTGGGTCATGAGAATGACTAAGCAGGGAAGACATGAGGGGGAAGCCTTTATAGACAGAGGGAATGGCTTGCACAGGGACATGAATTCATGATAATAGCACGACATTTTGTAAGCCTTTTTGTGTGATTGGACAATGGGCTGGGAAAGTAAAGTGGCACGATTTTCCATCTGACTGGCGGCTCATCTCTGTTTTCAGATATCCAAATATCCCTATTTGTCAAGAATTAGTCCAAATACCACATGGTCCAGGGAATCTTCTCTGTGATCATTCCTATTGATCTAGCTTCTATGAAACTATTGGAGTATTTTTAAACCTGTTTATAGTCAGGAATGTTTTGTGAATGATAAATTCATTGCCTAACACAATACATTACTTCTATTTAAATTGTATGTGTTAATAGTTCCTCAAAAAGTTCAAATAGAATCTAACAATTCTATTCCAGCAATTCTACATCTAGGAATTCCACTCCTGGGTAGATAGCCCAAATAATTGAAAACAGGCACTCCAGGAACAGATGGTTATATACCAATGTTCACAGCAGCATTATTGATGATAGACAAAAGGTGAAAACAACCCAAGTGTCCATCAGATGAATGGATAAACAAAATGTGATATATTCATACAATGGAATAGTATTCAAAATTAAAAAGGAAGGAAATTCTGATACATGCTACAACATGGATGAACCTTGAAAATATTATGCTAAGTGAAATAAGCCAGACACAAAAGGAGAAATATTGCATGATCTGCTTATATAAGGTACCTAGGCAGAAAAAAGAATAGAGATTAATTGGGACTGGTGGGAGAGATAATAGAGAGTTAATTATTTAATTGTTTGGGATGATGAAAATGTTCTAGAAATGAATAGTAATAATGGTTGTACAACATTGTGAATGAACTTAATGCCACTGAATTGTACACTTAAAATAGTTAGGATGGAAAATTCTATGTTATGTATATTTTACCACAATGACAACTTCCCAGAAAAAAAATTGTATGTGTTAAAAGCCACTACTCCAAATGTGTGATATGAGTAATAAAGGCAAACAAAAAAATGTATTTTTGTCCCTAGGAGCAAATAGGAACCATCCAGATGAGAAGAAGTCAACATCAATAGCTATAAATTAAAATGTTTAAGGCTTGGGGATAGAAGTTAAAAACCTATTTGTAATGACTGGAAATGTGACAATATCACATGAAAAAACAAATTTACAAGGAGAAGAGTTCATTCTCCTTTTCAAATGGTGCAATACCTTCTGTTGATGTTCAAAGTCCTGGGATATGGGTCTCTCCAATCCTTGACCATCTGTCTCTGAGTGATTTTCTCCTCCACTGAGTTCAAGGGCTCCGCTTTCTTCATTGGCTTCACTGACTCCCTTACCTTCATTAACCTCCTTAACTCTTCTTCCATTGCCTATATTGGCTCCAAGTTCTTCAACATCTACAATGGCTGCACTGCCCCCACTGGCTACATTTCCTTCATGACTTCTATGGACTCTCTGGCTTCCATAGCTGCTGCAGGTCTCTTCTCCACCATCACTTCCATCTTGCTTGCAGCTTCCATCTCTGCCATAGCTTGGTCTGATAACAAGATCCAATTAATTATAGAAAGCCACTGGACAAAAATACATTTGAAAGTCAGCAAATAAAACATAATTAGGATGTATCTGATACATATGTACAATCCCTAGGAATGTTTTTTCTCGATGCAAACACTACTGGTATGGTATGGACAAGAAAATTACCCTGTATCTTGCCAATCTTAAATACTGAATAAACGCCATGGCCACCATCAATTCCCTGACCGTACATGGATGGCAGATGGAAGGGAACTTGCTTCCTTTATTAGGAACATGTGTTACGTTAGCAGCAAAAATATGTTTTGTTTTTTGCTTAAATAATAGACTACATGCATTAGCAACTTCACAGCCACATAAATGATCAAGCCCATATTTTTGGCACAACCACAACAAAATTAAATAACTGTTTTTTGCAATATAATTTCTGTTAATTTTAACATGTGTCTTGATTTTCTGATGTGTATTGACTACTTTACTAAAGAATCCCATTGATTTTTCTATTACTACCACGAGGAAATTCAGTAATCTAGATCTCATTAAGCTAAGATAGTCATTTATTTAGTTGCGGAGAACATCAACCATACCAAATGTCACTGATTTCTTGCATACGAGACAACATATCCAGGTACCTATGATAATTCTAAAAGCCAATTTGGGGCAGCCTGGGTGGCTCAGCAGTTTAGCGTCTGCCTTCGGCCCAGGGCATGATCCTGGAGACCCGGGATCAAGTCCCACGTCGGGCTTCCTGCATGGAGCCTGCTTCTCCCTCTGCCTGTATCTCTGCCTCTCTCTCTGTCTCTCATGAATAAATAAATAAAATCTTTAAAAAAATAAAAAATAATAAAAGCCATCTTGATGGTGGAATTCCTGGTAGATTTCTTAGTTGGCAAAAAATAAAAAATGATGAATGATCTGTAGTCTGTTCTGCCATGAATATCCACCCAATAACATTTGAAAATTAACAAAAACAATATAGTTATTTCAATATGAAAAAGCAAACAATTCTCCCACTGTTAATCGTTTTTCTAAAAATGTAAACATTTACTATGTTAAGTAATCTTCTTTGAAAGCAGTTCGAATGCAAACCATGAGCATATGTAAATAAGAATACACTGGCCTGTTTAGAGCAGGAGAAAGGAACTACTATATATATATATGTCTCAAAGACAGTGTTATCTTTATTAAAAAATGGATAGACAGGGATCCCTGGGTGGTGCAGCGGTTTAGCGCCTGCCTTTGGCCCAGGGCGCGATCCTGGAGACCCGGGATCGAATCCCACGTCGGGCTCCCGGTGCAGGGAGCCTGCTTCTCCCTCTGCCTGTGTCTCTGCCTCTCTCTCTCTCTCTCTGTGTGTGACTATCATAAATAAATAAAAAAAATTAAAAAAACTGTTTAAAAAAAATGGATAGACAGGGGATCCCTGGGTGGCGCAGCGGTTTAGCGCCTGCCTTTGGCCCAGGGCACGATCCTGGAGACCCGGGATTGAATCCCACATCGGGCTCCCGGTGCATGGAGCCTGCTTCTCCCTCTGCCTGTGTCTCTGCCTCTCTCTCTCATTCTGTGTGACTATCATAAATAAATAAAAATTTACAAAAAAAAAAGGATAGACATAGCAGCACTTACAAAACAACAGTTCATCAAAGGCATTATACATTGTCAACGAATAGTGTGAAAAGGGCAGGCCCCCAGCACCGCTGGGTGTGGGCTCCACATCACAACGCTCACAACTACCAGCCCCGCTCAACAGCACACAACCCAGCACATGCAAGGGGAGACCAAGAGCAACACGGCGCTCTGCAACTTCAAGCCTTTGTTATCTGCGTGAATAGTCAATCAAGTCAAGTATCACCCTCCTTAGCAGCATCTGGAGCACTCACTGGTGTTCTGGAGGTGGCTGGTGTACTCGACCCACTTATTTAAAAAAAACCTAAGCATTCAATAAAAAACACTTCTCCCTGTCCAATGCCATCCATGAGATTATATATATATACTGGTGGCATGTCAAAAATATCACTTCACTAAATATTGCCATTTTTGGCAGCTGCTGTGTAACAAGATAAAATTGAATGGGTACTGAATTTAGTTATAGCAGTTTGCAGAATTCCAAGAATAATGCTATGTTAGTAAGTTTCAGCCTAAAATTATCAAGTAAAAATCAAGGTTGCAATTCATTTTTCTCAGTAAATTTGGAGATTTTGTTTGTAAATATCAGGGCTCCATCTTACAGTTATTAAGTAGCACACTGTCACCTCATCTCATATACTCACTGTGGTTTTAGAGGTTAAGATGATTAAGTAGCATTAATTTTAACAGAAACTTCAACAATTACAGTTATAAAGAACTTAATACTTGAATACTAATAAAATGCAGTATACAAAAATGTAAAATTAAGTGTTTTGCATTAAAATAATTTAAAATCTATCATTAAAAATCAACCATTTACTAATATGCAAGTGAAATTTATTCACCCTCTTGGTAATAAAATTTGAAAGTAAGACAGAGGTTCAAATAGTTCTGAAATTCTAAAATATTGGTAGTATAAGTAATTTAGAAAAACCAACCTTGGCCAACAAGGAGCATCATCATGATTATTTTCTTTGTCATCAATAGCTTCACCATTGTCATTATCACCATGGTCTTCACCAACATCATTAGCCTGATCAACCTTGTTATGCAAGTCATCATTGCTATTGTCATGGTCATAGGTATCCTCATAAGCATCATTAGAATTGTCATCATCACCATCAGTATCAGCACCAGTATCATAGAGTTCAACATAATCACCATCCTCTTCAGGTGGCTGAATGACAGGTGCAGGAGTCAACCAATCATTTCGGAAGATTTCAGAGAGTGCATTATAGCCTACCCATTCATTTGTCAGGTAAACGGGGGGGGATATTTTTCCTACTTTAAATCCATCTGGAACCTGTGTGCACAAGAAAGGTTAATGTAGTCTCCAGTAGCCTTTTGTTTTCTTCTAGATTGGAAAGTTTCCAAGCTGACAATATTTTAAAATATATTTTCATTTGAACTGAAGATATTTACTCACTAAATAAAGCAACATTTTTGTGAGGATGAGATGCCAAAACCCAAACTTCAGGCTATGATCATTAATGGCCTTTCTGGATCACCCAGGGCAAAATTTACTCCCTTTTTATTACCTCTACTTTTCTGCTGAGGTGTAGACATTTGGTTTTGGTGATAAAAAGTAGAACAGATGATTCGATGCTCTACAGAAGATATAGAAATTTTTTATGTTTCACTTTATTCTCTGATATTAGGATTGACACACAGCTCTTAAAATTGATATGTTAACTTCCCAGCTCTAGTTTTGTGCATAGGTTGTCTTAAAGTAAATCAAACACTACTGAGAAACAAATGAATATAAATCCACCTTTAAGCATGCTAAGTGTTATATAAGCAACCTTTAGGCAATCTGAAAGACATGTGTATGTGGAAAGGTAGGAATGCTTACAAAAATAAAATGGAATGACCTGAAAGCACACTGCAAAAACAACTGGAAGAATGTTTATGCTATCCATATGTTTTATTTCTCTTCAAATGTTTTATTTTTATACATTGCCTTATCATCCAAGAAACTATATTGTACAAAAAGTGAACATCTAGCTTCTATTCCTTGATTTGAGATTAGTTTCTACAAAGACCTTTTTATCATTCTTCTCTGAATATATTCTGATAAAAGAATGTAATAGAAAATATTTTATGATCAATTAAATTTTCTCCACTTTAAACTTAATTTCTAGATTTCATATTCTGCATACCTACAGAGCAATGGAAATCTATTTTGAAAGATTAACTAAAAAAACTAAACTTTTTGACCTTGCCCTCAAGTGAAGATGAAAATATGTAAGTCTAAAAACATTTTTTAAACAGATAAATGTGTTAAGAGTTAAGTTGGAAACCTACATGGACATCAACCAGCAACTTCTGATCAATAGTGGAATAAGGTGGTGATGACTGGGACCTCCTCCAGGTCACAGGACTCTCTTCCTCAGAAGATGATTCTGTGGAATGACAAAAAGACATTAGTAACAGTGATGATTGCAGCCATTGCCTTCATTTTTATCACCAGTTCAATACCTTGGTATTTTTCTTGTAGCCTCTTTTCATTCAGGAAATCTCACCTAATAAATTCTCATGGGGCCAGGATCCTAGAGTCTGTTTGCAGGGGTATTGACAGGCTCAAGGTTTGTCCTGTCTGTAGATCTACACAGTTCTTCTGTTTTCAATATTAAGTGCATACTTGCTAAATATTTCTGTGTGAGAAGATACTCAGTGAGTTTGATAGGCAGTTTCACTTAAAAAATAATATATATCAAGAATAGGACAAGCTAGGTGGTATCACTGGCCTCTCATAGTAACCAGTAGAAAAAGAGTCCAACAGTGTATTTGAAGAAGACAATATAGACAAAATTCTCAAGAGGAGAGTTGACCCTGTAATCTTAATCCCCCCAATTTCTATTCAATGATATATACTGAAGTATTCCAATAAGGTTAAAAAGCAAACAACTAAAAAGAAAAAAAAACTAACCCTTTTTATGAAGCCTGGAATATTTCTATAGAGATGTTGTGCACTAGAACTTCCTGCAGTAATAGAAATGTTCTGTATCTGCATGTCTAATATAGTAGCCAGTAGTTGCACATGGCTAGTGAGCATTTGCAATATTGCCAGTATGCCTGAAGGGTCAACATTTTAATTTTAGTTTTAATTCGGCTAGTTCCTATCACAATATACAGCTTAATTTCATAGTGTAAATATTTCCATTTAAAATGCAAATTTTGGGGGCATCTGGGTGGTTCAGTTGGTTAAGCAGTTAAGTCTGCCTATGGCTCAGGTCATGATCCCGGGTCTTGGGATAGAGCCCCTTGTCCAGTTCAGTGGGGAGTTTGCTTCTCCCTCAGGTCCTCCCCCTGCTCATAGTCTCTCTCTTGAGGATGCTCACTCTCTCTCTCAAATAAATAAAATATTTTTTAAAAATAAAACAAAATACAAATTTAGGGGCCCCTGGCGAGCTCAATTGGTAGAACATGCAACTCTTGATCTCAGAGTTGTGAGTTCAAGCCCCACATTGGATGTAGAGATTACTTAAAAATTAAAAAAACAGTCTAAAAAACACACAAATGTATCTGGATTGGAAGTGGGTTTTTTTTTATATTAAGATTCGTGGCACAGTAAATAACACCTGTGGTTAAAATTCAGTAATACTATTTAGGCTCAAAAATCAGTAGATCTGGCTGAGGATACTTAGAAAAAGCTTCACTAAGGGGCACTTTTGTCCCTGCTTATTGTTTTTGTGTGCTTGGATTTTAAAGATAAAGAGTACTATCCTTTTTTTATTTGCAACCTTGCTATATATAGCCAAAGCAGAGACACTACAACTCCAAAACTCATCTATTTGCAAACGCTGCTATCTTTTGAGTATATTATCTAGGACACATCCTACCATTTGTGTCTGCATGTTCTGGCATTGTACTTGTGCAGTTTATTATCATTCTTCAGAAAACCGTTTCTTCTCAAGTCCCTGGGTGTGTTGTTAGGTTAAGTAAGAAGTCTGGGTGGGTGTTTGAGATTTTGAGGCAAACTGTAGTAAGGTGCTCTGATAATCTCATGGGAACTTCAAATGGTCTAGGTAGCACACACAATAAAATAATAGAATTTTAGAGCTGAAAAGAACTCCACCTATTATTTACACAGAAGCAACCCCTGTTGGGCCGGAGGGATAGAGGGGGATTGGGAGGCACCAACAAACTGGCAGCGGACCCTCCATCTTGTTACCCTTGACTGGGGACTTTCCCACCACCAGCAGACCGCCCAAGGACACATCATCAGGGGAGACAGGACCTATGCAGGAAACAGGAACCATACCTTACCCAAACCCCATATAAGGACATAAGCAGTTATCACCCAATACAGACACAACCCCTTGCCCCTCGTCTCTTAAAAAGCTTGCATGTACTCCCTTTGGGCGCGATTTACTTGGCCCGCGACTTCCCCACTCTCACCCTCCCCTGCGGGCCACAAAACCTCGCCCTAGAGTGCGTCCCATTAAAAGCTTGCCTCGACCCACTTTTGCCTGGCCTATTTCATTTCACTACCAATCGGATTAAACCTGACAACCCCCTTCTCCCCACTGCCCCCACCAATGTTCATGACTGCTTTGGGACCTAATATAGAATTTCTTTGTTTCAGAAAAGACAATATGAATAAAACTCAAATTTTTAGGTGTTTGTCCAGTATTAGTAAAATTAGTCAAATCAGAAAGGTACTGGGGTAAATATTCTTAAAGTTATATTGATTCAGGTTTATTTTATTTTTCACAATATCATATTTCTGCATGAGAGAACACTATTAAAAGAATTCTACCAGGGGCGGGGCAAGATGGCAGAGGAGTAGGGTCCCCATGTCACCTGTCCCCACCAACTTACCTAGATTACTTTCAAATCATCCTGAGAACCTATGAATTCGACCTGAGATTTAAAGAGAGAACAGCTGGAACACTACAGAGAGAAGGGTTTGAGGTTCTAACAAGGTAGGAAGGAGGAACAAAAAAGAAAAAGAAAAAAATAAAAAGAATCAAGTGGGGGAGGGGCCCTGCGAGGAGGTGGGTTAAGGCTGGGCGGCAGCCCCGAGAGGGAAAATCCCAGCCCCTGAGAAGCAGGAACTGTAAAAAAATCTGCACTGGATTCTTCCCGGAAGAAAGGCACTTAGCAGGGAACTCAGGCAGAATTGCAGGAGGGGCAGTGGAGCCTCCAGTTTCCTGGAGTCACTAATGGAGGAAGTGCACTCCAGGGGAGAGCGCGCCAGACTGTGAGCCGATCTCGGTAAAGGGCTGGAACGCAGACGGCAGGGGGGGATGGAGCTTGGGGAGAAGCTGGTCGGTCAGGTGGCGGTCCGGGCAGAGGGTTCTGTACCATGCTGCCTTCGGGACCCGCGGCCCCGGAAGCACAATTCCAGCAGCACAGGCCCTGGATCCCAGGGCGCCGGGCAGACATAGCCCACTATCCTGTGCTGCCCCTGGGACAGGCAGAGGCAGGGAGGGCACAGGACAGCAATGACTGTCCTGCTGCTGGGCGCCCCCAAGCTGTGTAGATCAGCCAACCGGCACCACCCAGGACCATCTAGGCCAGTACGGACTGGGAGACTGCAGTAGTTACTGCAGAGCTGATTCCAGGGCTGGAAAGCTGGCTGCTGCCAGTGTTGTTGTTCCTCCTGGTGTCGATGTGTGGCTGGGAGGGGCAGTGCCGCCAGGGGACAGAGGCCTCACAGGGTCAACAGCTCCCACTGAGCCCAGAACCCAGCAGGCAGGGGAGGTGGGGCAGCTCCCTCAGGTGCACACACCTGAGAATCATCAGAGCAGCCCCTCCCCCAGAAGACCAGCTGGAAGGATAAGGGAAGAGCAAGTTCTTGACCCAGAAGCGCTAGAAAGCTCCAGAGGAAGTCGAGGGATTTATAGTATATAGACTAAAGGGTACCCCTCCTTTTTTTTCCTTCCTTTTTCCAGTACAACTCCTTTTTATGTCAGACTGTAAATATCCAGTTTTTTTTCTCTATTCCCACCTTAGCTACAATATTTTACCATGTCTTCATTTTTAAGATTCTTCCTTTTTGACATATTTATACAATTACAGGTCCTAGATATATTTTCCACTTCTAGATTCCCTTCAACATACTCAACTTAATTTTGGGAGATATACAAGATATGTTTTTTGTTTTGTTTTGTTTTGTGTTTTTACTTTTTTGTGCCTCATTTTGTTCTACAATGGCAGAAGATAATACCTTCTAAAACATGACCAGTATGCACCCAGATCCAAGTGGTATACCATGCTGGTTCATTCTGTGAGATTCTTCATTCCCATTCTGCCCCCCTCTTTTATCTCATTTATGTTTTGGTGGTCAATGTTGGGGCTCTCTATAAGTATTTCTGTTTTATATAAATTTGGGACTGAGCATATTCTAACATACATAACTTAATATACTCAGAAACAAGATGATCACCCTCTAGAACCTCTCAGGTGGACTACATTCTCCCTCCACTGCAACTTTGTCACCACCTCCATCTTCCTGTCCTCCCTTTTTCTCTTCTCCTTTTTTTCTGTTTCATGTTTTCTCCTCTTCTGTAGGATTCCTGGCCTTTTATTTTTTACTACTTTGTTTTAAAATTTGTTCTTCACTTTAGTGGTCCTTTTCTTTTATTTTGTTCGGATCTTTGTTTTCAATTTCTGGTCTCTGACTTTAGCAGAATCATCTAGGGTGAAATTTACCTAGGTCGTGGTTGATACTTTTGACACAGCCCACTCATACAGCCACTCTGCACTGAGAAAAATGACTAGAAAGAAGAACTCACCACAAAAGAAAGAATCAGAAACAGTCCTCTCTACCACAGAGTTACAAAATTTGGATTACAATTAGATGTCAGAAAGCAAATTCAGAAGCACAATTATAAAGATAACTGGTAGCTCTGGAAAAAGCATAAAGGATTCAAGAGGCTTCATGACTGCAGAATTTAGACCTAATCAGGCAGAAATTAAAAATCAATTGAATGAGATGCAATCCAAACTAGAAGTCCTAACGACGAGGGTTAACGAGGTGGAATAACAGTGAGTGACATAGAAGACAAGTTGATGGCAAAGAGGGAAACTGAGGAAAAAAGAGACAAACAATTAAAAGACCATGAGGATTGATTAAGGGAAATAAATGACAGCCTGAGGAAGAAAAACCTAGGTTTAATTGGGGTTCCTGAGGGCGCAGAAAGGGACAGAGGTCCAGAATATGTATTTGAACAAATCATAGCTGAAAACTTTCCTAATCTGGGAAGGGAAACAGGCATTCAGATCCAGGAAATAGAGAGATTCCCCCCCCCCAAATCAAGAAAAACCGTTCAACACCTCGACATTTAATAGTTAAGCTTGCAAATTCCACAGGACTGAAGAGATTTCATGACTACAGATTTTAGATCTAATCAGGCCAAAATTAAAAATCAATTAAATGAGATGCAATCCAAAC